TGTTCTTGTCTCTTTCCAAATGATGACTGAAAGCTAGAAAACCCAAAACAGTAAAAGAAAGGAACACGAGCCCAGACCCATCAGAGAGAGGTGCGGGATTCCTGGTGGTCATTTGGGTACATGTCATGCTCCTAAAATCACACCAGGGATGACAGTACGGATCAGTTAAGGTGCTTTGTCCACTGCTGGCTTCTTAGCTTGTGGCTCTACAGGAAATGGAGAGAGACCTGCAGAGGGAAAGTTTGTTTTCAACTCAAACCTTGGAATGGCGTGGGTACTCCTCTGTATGTGCCAGCCTCGTCCCCATGCTTACAGAATTAATCTGGTTGACTAACTAATGAGCTGAATGTCACGGTTTCTGAATGACTGTAAATACTGTCATAGAGACCTGCAGGATTGTTTCCTGGATATCTTATCATCATTCCGCTACATTTTGTTTTTGCTGAGCCAACGTGGCCATCGCTGCACTCCTGCCCCCACTCAGCTGGGGTGTGGATGTTCCTCCCATCTGCTGCCTTTGGGGATGGCTGGTTCTGAACACTGTGTCTGCAGTTGTTTGGAAGAGCAGCACTCAGAGACAAGCACAGCAGCAGTCACGTTGTTGTGCAACAGCACTGTCACAGCTCACAGCAGGAAAATGGCTACACTGGAATGCTCCAGGAATTGGTGGCAATCGGTGGCTTTACAACTGAGATCAGCTCATACAAGGTCTGCACAGATGACCATAATAGGGGCAGAGACAGAGAAATCCATTTGGTGAAGGCAAAAATACTGCCTCCAAGGCTTGACAGTAAGTTTAGAGAAGCAACCCAATATCTTAAATCGTATTTCAAAGGAAAGATTATGTGTTTTTCTTTATGTTGTTGGTGTTCTATTGTTTGTTTTTGTTCTACTTGGAAAACCTTAGTTGAACTACAGTAACCAACGTCATCCTTACCTGCGTGGGTTCTGGCATAATACTTCCTATGGTGGAGTAGGAATGTCCCTATCATGGCAAGCAACCGCTGCACTGATCTCATTAGGAAGTTTATCACACAGTATGCTTCAACAGATGACTCTGGCTGCCTTCTGTAGAGTATTTTTTAGATTTCGAGGTCAAACAGAGTTTAACTTGCATGGTCTATTCTAGCATTACTCTGAATCACAGTCACAGATTTATTTACGTTGGAGTCAGCATAACACTCTCAAGTCCACCAACAAATTGTGTCCTTAAGAATCATGTCTGCTATAAAGCAGCTTGGTAATTATCTATCACTCCATCTGATTAGAGGTACCAGTTAAAGCAGAAAAAAAATAAGTACAGTGAGACCCTGGCTGCCCAAGGCACTGTGAAGGTGCTGAGAATGGGAGTGACCCAGCAGCAGGGCACGAGGACTGCTCTCCTCCTCACTGGGAATCTGGAACAAGTTTTGAATCTTTTTCCAGGCCTGGCTCCACTAAGCAGGGTGGTGAGAGGAAATCACACTGTTTTCACCACTTAAAAATACCTGATATCTCCCATTTTTCCCTGGAAGAGAGAAGCTGGTGGAGGTCACTGTCCTTCAGGCAGATGTTTTGCGCAGGATGGGCACAACAGTGGGCAAAGATCATGTAGGATCAGGGATGGGAGTCTGGGAAAAGGGTCGCATTGCAATTTAGTAGGAAGGGACCATAGCTGGTGCCCTCTGGGCTGAATTTACAGGAGGTCTGTGCCTGTGTTAACACTCATAAAAGATACCTCGCTCAGTAGTAGCAGCTGTTTTCAACCTGTAAAATCCTATCAAATAGCTTCAGGCTATCCAGAAAGATAGAAGGGAGTGAGCAAAGCCATTAGCCTCCACTGAAGCAAAGACCACTGCTTGGCCCTGTTGAAGGGCCAAATATTGCATGTCTTAGCAAGTCATTTAAATTTTATACCATTTTTAAACACGCTCAGATCTGAAAAGAATTGTCTGCCATCACCATGGTCTTTTTTACCTTCTGGAAGAAGAGAGACATTAGACATAAAAATACGTAAATAAATAAAATGAAAGAAAATGAAGACACACGGGGAACCTGAAATTCAGGCTCCAGTCGTGCTATGACCTTGCTGAAGACAGTTATGTTGTTTTGCAGCTGATCTGGAAGTACAAGGATGTAAAATGTTCTACAGCCAATAAGCATCATTAGTGCTCTATTTGTGGTGTCTGCTTTCCTGTGTGTCTGCCCTTGGGGATCCTGCAAAGGTTACGGTGCCCGTCCTAGATCATCATTTTCCTGTACTTCAGTCCCTATCTGCAAAATAGAATGAGTGACAGTATATTTTCACACCTTTATTTCTTGCTGGGCTTGTCACCATTGATGTGTCAGAGCTGTCCAAACCTTTATTTCTCTAGGAGCTTTAGAGAAAGCCAGCATGTGAGCTGTGTTAGAAAAGGGTCTGTTCTCCAAGTGCTACGGTGGCAGACACGTGTCTACACGCTATAAAAGTATCAAAGGCAAAACACTCACGTAGGACACCTTCGGAGGGAAGGAGATGGGCAAAATGACCTCAAAGCAACTCAGCATCTGTGATTTCCTCAGCTCCCTCTGAAACTCTCTATTTTGCTGCCACAGGAGCCAGGTGCCCTACTGCACATCAGTGTAACAAATAGCCGTTAGCTTCTGCCTCGTGGGAGATACAGCAGAATGTGATTTATTGGTGCCTGCTCTGATGCCTCTTTCGAAGCACTGCCGTCACTGGGTGCTTTTTGCACAGAGGAAGGCAGATGGTCAGCACTGTTTCCCATAACCTTGTGGTGCGTACTGCATAGCCAATCAATGAGATCTGACTTGCAGCCCGTTGTCTGAGGTGGGAACTGTGCTGCTGAGGTATCCTGCAGTGGCTGAAATCATCTGAATGTCAACACTGCATATATGCTGAGGAAATATGGCATTTCTTCCTAAAATTTCTAAGCGGTGCCAAAGGGGATTTTCAGCTGTGGAGCTGCATCCGATGGTAGCAGGGACTGCATTGCTCAAGCCTGAACTGCCAGCTCGGGAAGAAACCCTTTGTGAGTGAGAGTGTTGGTGTGACTCTCCTTAGGAAAAAAGAAAGTAGGAATAATGAATTAAAATAGGTTTCTAGTACGATAAAGGCAGAGAGGAGGATTTTTTGATCCTGAAGAGCACCAGCTGCCCCTCCAACCAGCAGCTTCTGCCTAGATGATGATTTTAATGAGGCTTCAGGTGATTTGAGAAGCTGGCATCAGACTGCAAATCACCTTGTCTGTTGGCTGGTGCCAGAATACCTCGCCAGAAGCCATTATTTCAATAGGAAATAACAACTGGGAATAGGAAAAAAATGGACTTCTGAAAAGCACTTTGTCGTGTTCCCTGGGCACATGCTGGAAGCAGCATAAGCTCCTGCCTTCAAGCAGGCGTAGTCAGGAAATTCAGGGGGAGAACTGCCTCCTTGTGTACCAGAGACAAGATGAGGTGGGTTTGTTGTGCAGTTTGAGCAGTGTCTCTCAGTTTCTGATATTTATGGGCTCTGTGAGCAGATGTACCACAACTGTGTTTCATGAAACCTGGTACCGTGCTTCATTGCTTCTTCCTTGGGATGGAAAACACAGCATTGAGAGGAAGCTGTCTCTAGAAATGGTTAATGTAGGGCTTGGTCAATGTTTGACACCTTCCCCAGGCGCTTCTGGGGTTGCAGGTGGTTCCTTCCATGTGTGTAGGGTGGAGCATTTCCCAAGTTGAAGCTCATTCCCATTTTTCCCAATTGCATCTAGGCAGAGTATTGTCTCACATGACCTCACTGCTGCATGATGTTGGGCATATTTTGAGAATTTTAGACATATTTGCATTAAGTACAAAAGTAAACTGAGAACTTTTAATCCAATTAGGAGGGGGAAAAACCATGAAATGTTGTTATTTGGTGCGCAGCAGGCATTTAATCCCTGGCTTTTGGGTTATTTTGCTCAAAAAGACTACTTGTGTTAGGACATTTTTATCCAATCTACTGGGTTCTCTTCCTCGGTTTGCAATGAGGTTTGATAGTTTAAATCCACATGAGTTTCCCCTGATTGAAAGGGGCAGATCACAGTTATTCTATGGAACTAGAATAACCAGTGGCTAACAAATCTTATTGTTTCAAAACCAAACCAAACCAAAACAACAACAACAAAAAAACCTAACCAAAAAAAAAAAAAAAAAAAAAAAAAGCAAACAAAGAGACAAAAAAAAAAAATTAAATGGGATCAGACAGGTCAACAAAAGAATGGTCTGATCTGGCAAATAGATGGGGGCTGATTCTGTGTACACCTCACGTGTCCTTCATTGATTGTCATGGAGTCTTTATGTCCTAGCATGCATTGAAATAAGTAAGACCAGGTATGTTTTATATTCTTGAAAGATGTATGTATATAATTACAGCTAAGTCGAGGATTAAGGTCCTTTCTACTTCTGTATCTCCAACAGAAATCCGTGAAATCTCAAACAAGCAGTTCAAAGTCTGATTTTAATGATGTTGTTTTAAAGACAGAGTAACCATCAAACCTTGTGGATCCACCTACATTTTCATCTGTACTGAGGACCTGCGGCCTCATTTTCTGTACATTTCCAACTTGTTGAGACAGTTTTCTGAGTGTCAGGAAATAGCGAGTCTTCCAGAAACTGATCCTTACAGCAAACTTCTGTTGTTTTCTGTCACAGTTAAAATGTGGAAAAATGATTTTCTCCCTTGGGGTGAGGAGCTTGCATGCAACATTTTGGTCCCCGAGCATCTGGGACTGCAGTGAATATCTGGGCAGTCCCTGAACTGCAGCACAGAATTGCAAGTGAGAATGTAATGAGTGAGAAACAAAGAGAGAGATGTGGCAGGCACAGGGACGTGACCAAAAGCCCACTGAAGTGAAAGGCATGGCTCCTATTGAATGCAGCGGCCTTTGTGTCAAGCTCTCAGCCTATCTGTGACAGAAAGGCAGAGCCAATCAGTATCGCTGTGATACCTCTTGCGCAGGATAACCACATGCTCATCTTTTTACTTTCCCTCCCAGGATGGAAGGAGCAGTTTTATTGGCCACCAGCTTGGAGGGGTCATGGAAGTGCCCAACAGCAAGGACCAGAGAGTCAAATCAGCCAGAGCCATCCAAATCACTTACTACCTCCAAACGTATGGCTCTGTCACCCAGGACCTCATTGGGGAGAAGTGGGAGAGTGAATTCTGTAAACTGATGCACAAGATGCAGCTGGATCACCAAGATCTGCAGCTCTACTCGCTGGCGTCCTTCAGCCTCTGGAAGGACTTCCACCAGACCAGTCTCTTGGCCAGGGGCAAGATTTTGGTGAGCCTGATGCTGATCCTCCTGACTGCTACCCTCTCGAGCTCCATGAAGGACTGCCTGCGTAGCAAACCTTTCCTGGGACTCTTGGGAGTACTCACTATCTGTATTTCCAGTGTCACTGCGGCAGGGATATTTTTCATTACTGATGGAAAATATAATTCTACTCTGTTGGGAATCCCTTTCTTCGCTATGGGTAATTATTTATCTTCATAATAATAGGATTAACAGAGCTTAATGACAGGATTGTAAATTACATCCTGGGTTATAAAGTGCAGATTTTACCTTGAGTGAAACTCTAAGTCGTTTTCATCTTGTTAAATTGATCTGTGCCTTGCCAAAAAAAAAAAAAGGGGAGGGGGAGGGGGGAGGGAAATAGAATGAAGCAGTAGCAACAATAAGGAGCGAATGACGTTGCTGGAATCTTGGCCAATATGAGAGAGGGGCAGTTTTATTGATCTCGGTTACAAAACAAAGGAGAAATTGTTATTGAAAACTAGTCAGCTCAGCACAGCAAGCGGATGCGTGTTGACCTGACTTTGATGGGAGGCTGGCCAAAAGGGTCGGTTAAAATGGGAGGACAAGGAGGAGGAAAGATTTCAGCATCCTTCCCAAGGAAGGTTTCTCTTCCAGCTCTGAGGGGCAGAGGGGAATGGGCTGGTGTGTGAATAAGATTTATGGACTTTATTGCGGAGAGAAGATGAAAGCTGTGGTGTTTGCCAGGCTGTGAGCAAAGCTGTCAGTATCTGTAGTGCATAATCCCTCCATTTGTGAAGTTGGAGATCAGTTGCAGAGATTTCCTCTGTGCTGCACCCGGGCAGGGGAAGGTGCAGTCAAAGAACAGATGTAGAAAGCAGTTCTTTTAGCAGGAGAATTGTTCTCATTACTCCCATTCTCATTTCTGTTCCAGCACATTGAGCGCATCTGTGTGGTTAATGAGTTTGCAAGGAAGGGACGCTGGCAAGCAGAGCAGCGTGTAGCAGATGGCTCACTGAGGCAGCAGTGCTCAGTGCAATCACAGCCATGTGTGCAAGGGGTGCTCCACACCGCGAGGCTGAAGCTCCCTTATGGCTCTGTGCTGAGTCCCAGCAGAGACAGCAATAACTCCAAGCCTCCTGCTGGCTTTTGGGTGTCAGAGAATCTTATCTGTGGGAATTAACTCTGCTTCTTTTCAGTTCACTTTGAAAGTCAGTTCATACCTGTAGCACCCAAGAACAGCCCTCTGCTGCACTGAGAGGTAACTAAGCATGCAAAGATGGAGTCAAGGTTTGGAGCATCCTATATTTTTCTTAAAATGCTCACTATCTAAAAAAACCTACTCTTGCTCTTTCTCTAAAGAAAAGCCCTGCAGGTACGTGCATCCCTCACCTTCTGCCGCTTCCTTCATCATTTAACGCATCCCTGTCCCCACCAGCAGCACAGGCTGCTGCCTTCTGTGCTGCGCCCAACGTAGATGCAGCCGGCTAAGGCAGGAGGGAGCAGAATGCAGTGGATGACCAGTAGCCCAGCTGCAAAAGGGAAGAACAAGGCAAATTTTGGTGGTTTGCTGAGATGGTGTGACTTGAATGCAACTTGGGGTTTTGGGGAAAATGGAGTTTATGGAGTATGAATTGATCTGGATCGTGTTTACTGTCTTCAAGACTGGAGAAGGGGCCTGATTCTGCTCTGTCTGTTCCCAGTTTCTGACCTGAGTGAAGTTAGAAAAAAGAGATTAATGTGCCAGGAAGGGGAAAAGGTGGATGGTGGCAAAGGGAAGACTCATGCTCATTATCAGAACACGGCAAGCTTTTTGTTGGTGTCAGGAGTTGTGTGTCAGTTGGTGCTGCCTTGCTCATGCTGTAAATAGAACTGAAGGCCAAAAAAGAATTGTGAGGTAATGAAAAGCACCTTCCTTCAGGTATTTATTCTTCTGCTGGTGGCTCTTCAGATGGCTGTGGTGATCAGGACGCATAATCTGGGGATCTTTGCTTGACAGGCCCTCAGGTTGTCACTCCTGTGTAGCACCAAGCAGAGCCTGCAGGCAAAGCTCTTGACCTCACAGAATGCCAGAACCATGGAATGGTTAAGGTTGGAAGGCATCATTTGGGATCATCCAGTCCAAGTCCTGTGCTTCAAGCTGGGTCACCTGGAGCACACTGCCCAGGATCACATTCCCGGCACAACAGGAAACAACCCAGCCCCATCCTACTGACATACCTCAAAAGCATCAGCACCCCTACACCCAAGTGCACTGGCTGGAATAGCAGCAGCATTATGCTTAATTCGTGCATGCGCTGCAACCCTTGGATTAGGTAAGGACCAGAGCTTATGAAAGCAGAGTGGCTTGGTTTCCCATTTAGGTGGAAATTTAGGAGCTCTCTGTCTAAAGAAAAAATAATGTTTACAACTTTCTGTTGTGTTTTGTGCTGTCACTCTTGTCAAAACCACTGCCAAGAGCAAAAGAAAAACAAGTCTCTTGAAATGAATTATTTGCAAGAATTGCTTCTATAGCATTATATTGAACAAACTTCAAGTTGAAAAAGAATACACTTAAGAAACTTTCTACAGAAATTTCATTCTGAAAGCCAGACTGAATTGGAAATGTATTAGGAAAGAGCTGCTTACCAATTGCTGTTAGAAAATATTAGGGAAGAGTTTGATCAACTAAAATATGGGATGTACAGCTTATCAAAGTCCTACAGCATTACATCCTGCAAAGATACATGTGCCTGTGGTCCTGTGAATCAATGCCAGGTAGTGACATCTTGCACAGGCCATGGCGTGCCCAAGGTCTCACAGAAATTGGTTCCCTATGAGATAGAGTTTTCTACTAACCTGCTTTACTGTGAAGTGATCTGATAGCTTAGAGAAGATCCATTGAAGACTCCAGAGCTATAAATTCTACAGAACAATACATAACTATAGTCCATGTTGTACCAGAGTCCAATGCTGATAGGACCACAGAATTAAAAGAATACATCAAATAATTAATCTGTGAATCTAGATGAAAAAGTTTGTAAACTTTCCCAGACTTACGAATGTCAGATTTACAAGTCAGGCTTTCAAAGCCAAGCTACTTATGATACTGATAATGATAATAATAACAACCTGGAATACAGCCACTAAGCAGCTGGCAGTGCAAACCAGAATACACACATACCTGAGTGCTGGCAGCTTTAGAAAGACTCAATCTGACATTTGTAAAATGATCAATTGAAGTTTTTATTTTTTTCCTTTAAAATGTTTTTGACATTCACCCTTAAGGGACAAATTATAATGGAAATTCTGTGTTGTTCATCTACACTTGTTCTTCTAAAGCAGAGCAAGATGCTGCCATCTGGATGGCAGGAATAGAACCATAGGATCATGTGGGTTGGAAAGACCTTCAATACCAACAAATACAACCATTAACCTGACCTACAAGTCCCATCATTAAACGGCATCCCTTAATGCCACTTCCACACATCTCCTAACTGCCTCCAGGGATGGTAACTCCAATAGATCCCCAGGAAGCTCTTCCTTCTTCTTGACCATTCACTTTACAAAGAAATTCTTAACACCCAATCTAAACCTCCCACTGTGGAACTGGAGACTCTTTCCTCATGCCATTAACTACCTATTGAGGTTTTACTTGTGAGGTATCTCAGACTTATCTCAGAGATACTGGGATAGAAGCTGAGATTGGCTTTGCTTTGTTCTTCCTGGTGAGAAACTTAAGCCTTAAATAAGACAAGAGGACAGTGTTAGGGAGCTCTACTGGCTCTGAGTCCTCCTTCCTGATACCGTTTCCTCTATGCCTCAGGAAAACCAGTCTCTCCAGCACAGTGCCTACACTGCTGGTTGAGTCACGGCTCTTTGGAGAGACCTGAGAAATGCACCAGGTGAGGCGCTCACATTGCCTTTTGTGTTCAGATACACAATACAATTTCACAGGGTTGTTATGTGCATGAAATAATTATGGTTCCCCTTGTCTAATCATCACTAATTAATATAACCAGAAGGTTAACTACATAATTGAGATATTATTGCGCCCATGATTTTCTTTTAAATGCACAGAAACCACACTGATACCATCATGGAGATAATGATTAAACTCAGCTGAGGGTCTCACTGTGTGTTTTTAAATGCAGGTATATCAGTTATTTCATTTTACACATAATTATGTTTGGCCACTCAGTTAAGTGCCTCACCATATATCTTAGTGGAAATTTTACCTTAAAAAAATGTAGCTATGATGCAATAGAGTGTAAATACATTTTTTTCTTTAAAAAGTTAATGCATTTCTTGGCTGAATTCATGGTGATTGAATATAAGAAATATCTCCTGCCCTTTGTAATCCAGACTGTGAAGGCTTTAAGATCTTCACAGGAAGAGTTTTTCATTGAATCTGTAGAAGGCATTAAGCTGAACAACCTTACAACACCTTGTAACACTGTTTCTACAACTAATAGCAATGACTGTACTGCTAATAAACTGGCAAGGTAGTAAAGAGGAACAAACTCTACAGAAAGCAGTAGATTACCTGTCTCCAGCCATAACATTATTCCAATGTGAGAACTCAAAATGACAAGCATAGATTGTAGCTATGATGCAGACTTCATAAAATGATAGAATAGCTCAGGTAGGAAAAGACCTTAAAGATCATCAAGTCCCAACACAACCCAACCATCCTACCCTAACTCTCACCACCCTCTGCTAAATCGTGGCCCTGAGCAAATATTCTCTGCTATAATTCCCAGGGATTCCCTTCCCTGACTGAGAAACTCACATGGAAGGAGGGAACAAGGCAGCAGCAGGCAGGGCTCCAGGCAGTCACCAATATTTCAGGCAGGAGTCATCTAGCCTCTTTCAGAGAATGACTATAGCAGTTGTTACAGTCAGGGCTGATGATCACCTTTGAGTAAATGTGAGATGTGATGGTATAACCCTTAGGGGTAATTCATGGGGAATGACAGCAAAAGTGGGCGTAGCACAAATGAGGAAAGTGCTTTTTGAGATGTGATGGGACAAGCGTGAGGGCCAAAGTACATGTTATCTCTATGGAAGGACCACAGCATTTCTAACCCTTGCTTTAATCATTGGATTTTCTGATTACAGCTGCAACTTAGAAATAATATTTCAGGAGTGAATCTGGTTTTGTCTTTTGATTCAGCAGTAAAACAAACTGCATGTGAATTTCATGCCATCGTCTGATCATCTCCTGCCTGTGTAAGGAGC